TATAAAAATGACGTGTGACAAAATTCATCGAATTATCTTTTGTAGTTGCTGAGAAAGCTGCTTAAGGATTACGAAAAAAACTTAATTTTTTTCGAGGTAGTCTGAAATTTTTACTCATAACTTTTAACGTTGTGAACCGATTTCGCTGATTTTCAATACCAAACTGTTTAGGACAATAATGAATATTTTTGGTGACTTTGGTTATTTCTTTTGCTTAGTTTTAACGTGAGCGTGTCTTAGGCAGACATACAGACAGACGGACGGACATGGCTAAATCGATTCGGAATTTGATAAGGACCTGGAATATTGTTGGGTCTCAGATCAATATTTCTCTTACACGGAATGACAAACTTACCCAGCAAAAAAAGAACATCCAAAGAAGTAGAATTTACTCCATGGATGTACTGAAAAAGACCTGCTGAAGTGATGATTTCAACACAGGCTTGTCATAGGAGGGATGTCCTTTTTATTTGATTCCAAAATCACTACTTCTGAAGTCATTCTCAAGAAGTAATTTTTATGTTCTTTTTTTGAAATTATTTGGATGAGAAATTGTATTATAGAATACAACTTGTTTTATAGAATATATATATATATATATATATATATATATATATATATATATATATATATATATATATATATAGAATATATATATATGTATTATAGAATATATATATATATATATATACTTTGTTGGGTCTCAGATCAATTTTTCTCTTACACGGAATGACAAACTTACCCAGCAAAAAAGGACCTCCAAAGAAGCGAAAAAGAAGTAGAAATTATTTGGATGAGAAATTGTATTATAGAATACAACTAATTTGACTTTAATATTAACATTAGTAAGGGAAATAGACCCATTTAATACAAAAGACCAAAAATAACATTTTTTTAACTCATAAAAATGTAAGAACAACAAAAATATATTTTCAGCTTCCAAAGGTAAAAAAATCACTTAGTGCTACTTTAGAAGTGGTAATAAATGTTCTTCTTTTGGAAGTACTTCGTTTAATTTTTGCTGGTGGAGGGTATAAAAATAAACAAGGTTCGCAACCGTTTCGAAACAGTGATAAGGTAGCGGTATTTCGACTTATTTCGGTATTGGTATTTTAGCGTTATCGGTATTTTGGCTTAATTCGGTAACGATATCTTAGAGTTATCGGTATTTTGACTTATATTGGTATTGGTATTTTGCATATTTCGGTATAACTATTTTAGCGGTAACGGTAGTGTACTAAAAAGATGTTAAAATAACTACACGGTGTGACATAATTTCAAAAAGGGAATACACTGTTCACGATACCTAGTGCAGTTTGTAGGTATAGTAGATTACGTAGCTCACAAAACGATATTTAGAATTTTTAACATACCTCGAAAATCGTATTTTTAATAGCTGTCGGACTTAAAAATTTGTAATTTTTTTATCCGATTTATCCGATTTTATTTTGGTAAACGCCAATATAAAGACAAGCTCCTCTCCTTTTTTAAAAGTGTACACACTTTTGTATTATATCTGAATATAAGTGAGTAATTAGGAACTGATAATTTTTTTTATTTTTTTACCCAATTTTTTAACTTTAAATTAATTCTGACGGACAATTTATTGAGAATGGTAATTTTAATTGACAACTAAATTGATTGATTTTGTGGAAAATGTACAAATTAACAAAATGAAGTTTTTCAGTCCAAAAATTACAAAAATTCAAAATTTTTTGAATTTTAAAATCGATTAACTTTGATTTTAAAGTAATATCTAAATTTCAAAATTGGGAAAAATTTTATTAGTTGTGTATTTTGGACTGTAAAAGAGTATTTTGTCGATTTTTATATCTAAGGGAAAAATCATATCGTACAATTAATTACATCAATTAATATACGATTAAAACAAGCGATATCTCATTTAATTTGAAAGAAAAATTATTAAAAGAGAAAAATAATTAAAAATTACTTTACTTAATAAAATGTCGGTCAAAAATGGACTTAAAGTTTCAAAAAATGGGTAAAAATATAAAAATTTGGGTTGAGTTTTTAATAATATGATGCTGCAGAATATAAAAGTGTGTTTACTATGTATAAAATCCGTTTTTTGGGAAATATTTTTCGCGGTATATCAAAAATTCTAAATATGGTATGGTGATCTACTCAACCAGATCTAAAAACCGCTCTTGGTCACATTTTTAGCGATTTTTACTGTCACACCGTGCTATATTCGGCTATACAGAATATATAGAACAACATCCGAAATTGAAAAAAGTCAATTTCGGAAGTGGGTAGGGTCTTCAATGAAGGATTATTCATCATTATCTCCATAACTTAAAGGAGTAATTATTTATTTTATTCTACCATAATTCGAACGGCAAACTTTTGGAATGATAGAATTAAATCTAAGACCGTATTGGTTAACATCATATGGGTACCAGGCCACTCGGGAGTAGGCAACGAAAGGGCGAATGTAATAGCTTTAAAGGGAAAGGAGCTCGAAGTAGTTAACCTGACAAACGAAAAACTATTCGACGCAGCTAAAGCTGAATTAAAAATATGGGTGACAGAATCCCGTAAGGCTTCTTGGAATAATGAAACGGTGGTAGAACCACAAAGATCCTATGGGGTGATCCTGATGAGAACAAGACGAGAAATCTCCTCAAAATGAGCAAGTCTGAAGTTAGTATGATGGTACGTATTCTGAGTGGACACACAGGATTACGAGCACGAAATAACATTCCAGACTAACACTTATTGGAAAATTATAAGGAATTACATCCAGCAAACTGAGTTTCTGAACATTGAAAAATAATATACTCAGTGAACAATTTTTATACCCTACAACTCTTAGTGGGGAGGATATATTGGGTTTGTGCTGATGTTTGTAACGCACAATAATATGATTTTTATACCCACCTTAAAGTATATCAGTCGGCTTAGAATCATTTGCTGAGTCGATGTTGTTATGTCCGTCCGTCCATGTAAACCTTGAAATCAAACTACAGGTCGCATAATTCAATGAAATTTCAGTGATGAAGCCTATTGAAAATGTTTATGATCGGTCTATTATTTGACCTATTGAAAATAGGTAACATCGGTCCAATATTTGACCTAGCCTCCATACAACTGAACTCCCCCGAGTAGGACTTTTAAGTTCATAATTATCTTCAATATACTCGTATCTCGACAAAAAGCTGCAAAACCAAGTTCTATACTAGCGTTCATGACCCTGATGAATTTTTTGATGATAGGGCCTCATTTGACCCTAGACCCTATACAAAGCCCCCTTCGAAACATGACTTAAATGTACACAATTTTATTCAGCAAAAAATGGCTAAAGTATATATGAGACAAGGTACAATTCAATTTAAATGCCATATATGGTATTATATGGTCGGCCTCGCCCGACTATAACTTCTTACTTGTTTTTCATGAAAAGGAGGGCACAACAGGCCCAATAGTAGCTTAGGTGTATTTCTTCGAATTTTATGTACTATCCTATCAACCTAACCTTTGGAATGATTTATTAGCTATAAACTGATTTTCTGTAAGAGATTTATATTGGAAATTAGGTTTCGGTTCCTTAAAAAACTTTTTTGGCCATTTCAACATGGCATTTCTACTGGCATTTTAAAGTAGTTTTCGAATTATGGTTAATATAAAACGTGATAATGTAAAATTTCATCGTTAATGCTTTTTTAACAAGCGTTAGTCATTATCTGAATTGGATCTTATATAAGTTCAATTATGAACCGATTATTTTACAATTTTGTAGAGAGATTTTGCTTGATAGAAAAGTCGAACATGTTATATTTCATTTATAATTATGGACCTATGTCAGCCATACTTTGGCTCTGACTCTGTTGCAGAATATTTTTCTATTTTGGCACATGAACTTTTGTGACTTATTTTATTTTATATGACTTGGTAAGTTCGATCCGTGATAAAGACTATCGAGATATTATACTCTATTTTCTAGTCTGTCTATAGTCTAGTCAATTGTCTATCATATATTTTAGTCTATATTCTTGACTATATTGTAGAGTATAGTCTATTCTATAGTATAGTCTGTAGTGATGTTAACAATATTAATTAAGTGAAAATTTATTCCCTTCTTGGGTATTTTTTATAGAATAACTGCAATGGTAACGGTAGTACCCAGCAAAAATAAAACGAAGTACTTCCAAAAGAATAACATTTATCACCACTTCAAAAGTAGCACTAATTGAATTTTTCTTACCTTGTGAGGAAGTGATGTAAAGACTTTCGAAGAAGCGAAAATAATTATATTTCTTCAATGTCGAAGATATATTTTTTGTTCTTACATTTTTATGAGATAAAAATGTTATATATGGGCTTTTATATTAAATGTGTCTATTACCCTAATTAATGTTAATATTATTTAAGTCTAATTAGTTGTATTCTATAATAATACAATTTCACTTTCGAATAACTTCCAAAAAAAGAGCATTAAAATTACTTTTTAAGAATGACTTCAGAAGTAGTGAATTTTGAAAAAAAACATTCCTCCTATGACAAGCCCGTATTATAATCATCAATTCTTCAGATCTTTTTCAGTACTTCCATGGAGTATTATATTTGGGCTTTTGTATTAAATGTGTCTATTACCCTAATTAATGTTAATATTATTTAAGTCAAATTAGTTGTATTCTATAATAATACAATTTCACTTTCGAATAACTTCCAAAAAAAGGACATTAAAATTACTTCTTAAGAATGACTTCAGAAGTAGTGGAAAAAAATATTCCCCCTATGACAAGCCTGTGTTATAATCATCACTTCTTCAGATCTTTTTCAGTACTTCCATGGAGTAAATTCTACTTCTTTTTCGCATCTTTGGAAGATCCTTTTTTGCTGGGTAGTGCAGAAAAGGTATTTTAGAGGTTACGATAGCTTAGCGATAACGGTTGCCAACCTTTGAAATAAATCAAAACATTTAAAAATTTTACAATAGAAAAAGAAAACCAGAACATAATAATGAATACGTAACCTACCTTTACAACACTGTAAACAGCTTGAGCATACAGAAGGTTTACTTCCACAGGATCTTGTGATAATTCTCTAGTTGACTTAAATAATCTTTTTTTAAAAACAAAACGATTTTCTCCTGATGATGATCCATTATTTAGTCGTTTATGTGTTGCTGTGGCTGGTTGTAATTTAACTTGTTTTAATTCCCATGCTGCTATAACATCATATAAGTAGTCAAAAGATTTGATATGTTCTTCTCCATTCGGTCGTGATTGAAATATGGCCCAACCTTCCGTATTAAATAGATTAAGTTTTTCGGCCAATTTTAACACGGCATCACCCGCTGTGTCCGTAGGATGGACATCAATAGCTTTTGTACGACCATCCAAAAAAAAAAATCGGCATACAATAGTTCCAAGTCGTCTCATTGCCTGCAAACATACATTTTAAAATCGAAAGTTATTATATTTTTTATTTTGTTGAGTATTGAGGGATTATATTCAATAGTAACTATCTTAATAGCGCTAGTAAAAAACGTTTTATTTTGTTAGTTCGTGAAAATTTTTTAATTTTTATCTACAATATATTTAATGGTGTGAAGTTATATTCGTCAGCCAAATACGTCACACACCACATTTGTGAAATATGTTCCACATAGAGTGTGTGCCAATCGGTAACAATTTATTTGAAAATGCAAATTTTTGATAGATATGAGGTGAATAAAATTTTACTATCTCATAGGGCTACATAAATTTTTGACAAATGTAAAGAAAAATTTGAAAATACAAAAAATAAAATATTTTATAATTTCAGTTTACATTTGTGATTGTAGAAATTTTTTCAATAATAAAAAATCAATAAAAGTGCTTCTTTTATTAAAATAAATGCAGATTTTCTTGTGAAATTAGTGACAATTGTCAAAATTTAATGTAATCAAAAAAGATTTCGTTTGGCACAGCAAAAGTGATAATATTTCCCACCATAAGAAAATTTTATTTTACCATAGAACTTTGCTGCCGTTTGGCACACAGTCATACTGTAAAATTCGTTTCCAAATTAATTAAATTAATTTTTTAATAAAACAAACACCAAATAAAATATTTTCTAAGGAAAAAAGTAAAATTATATTAAAATCTATTCAAAAAATAAATATATAAAATAAAAATTAGTTAAAATAATTGCATACTTGTCAAATACGGCAAAAAAATAGACACTTTGAGAAGACATGAATCGGTGTACCGCCAGAGTGGAAGTAGCCCAGGACCAGCTCTTTCCAAAAATACATATGCAGTTCCAGCTCTGGATAATTTTTAGAATTTTTTGAAAATACATCAAATTTTGAAAGAAATGGAGGAATTTTCAAGTGGATCCAACGGGCATTTGGAGAAGAAATAAATCGGGTGACCAAAAAAAACATTTTATTTGGTGTTTGTTTTATTAAAAAATTAATTTAATTAATTTGAAATCGAATTTTACAGTATGTGGAACATATTTGACAAATGTGATGTGTGACGTATTTGGCTGACGAATTTAATTTCACACCCTTATATTTTTCAACTAGGTGCGCGTACCCGGCGTTTCCCGGGTTTCTTTTAAAATAAAGATAATATTATTCTGTCTGTAATGACTATACTTTTAATATTTTAATATATGGGCAATTCCGATTGTATGTGACATTCGTGGCCTTCTGTAGGTTAGTGGTTAGTGTTCTAGTCTGGTAGACCGGAGGTGGTGGGTTCGATTCCCACCTGAGGCACTGGTTAAGGAGCGCACAGCAGGACCGATAGAGGCCTAGGTGTATTTCTTCGGATTTGATGTTATAGACCCCCTCAGAACTAACTAACGAACGAACAACAACTAACGAACTACGAACTAACAACTAACAACGAACGAACGATAAAACGAACGAACGAACTAAACTAACGAACGAACTAACAACTAACACTAACAACGAACAAACGAACAAAGAAAAACTAACGAACTAACAACGACAAACGAACAACGAACGAACGAACGAACAACGAACAAAGAACGAACGAAAGAACAACAACGAAACCAACAAACAACTAACGACAACTAACAACTAACGACTAACTAACACAACTAACAACGAAAGACTACGAACGAACGACAACGAACGAACGAACGAACGAACGAACGAAACGAACGAACGAAGAACGAACGAAGAACGAACGAACGAACGAACGAACGAAAGAACGAACGAACGAACGAACGAACGAACGAACGAACGAACGAACGAACGAAACGAACGAACAACGAAAACGAACGAACGAACGAACGAACGAACGAACAACGAACGAACAACGAACGAACGAACGAACGAAACGAACGAACGAACGAACGAACGAACGAACAAACGAACGAACGAACGAACGAACGAACGAACGAACGAACGAACTAACGAACGAACGAACGAACGAACGAACGAAACGAACGAAGAACGAACGAACGAACGAACGAACGAACGAAACGAAAACGAACGAACGAAGAACGAACGAACGAACGAACTAACTAACTAACTAACTACTAACTAACTAACTAACTAACTACTAACTAACTAACTAACTAACTAACTAACTAACTAACTAACTACTAACTAACTAACTAACTACTACTAACTAACTAACTAACTAACTAACTAACTAACTACTAACTAACTAACTAACTAACTAACTAACTAACTAACTAACTAACTAACTAACTACTAACTAACTAAGCTAACTAACTAACTAACTAACTAACTAACTACTAACTAACTAACTAACTAACTAACTAACTAACTACTAACTAACTAACTAACTAACTAACTAACTAACTAACTAACTAACTAACTAACTAACTAACTAACTAACTAACATGTGACATTCGTACGCCTTCAGAGTGGTATAGATTTTGTAAAATTAGGAGTACTTGAAAAACAATTTTATCATTCTGTTCCATTTAAAGAATACTATATTTGCAAAAGGAATCATCCCATTCGGAACCAAATATGGATTAAAATATGGCGATATCATACGTGACAAAAAACGGTAGTGATTTTAAAGTACATGTAAATATTTACGAAAATCTGCGAATTCTGTAGGTGTATCTTTTTTGTTTTTATTTCTTACACTATGGGACATATTTTTCATTACTAATCCATAATTTTGAAATAAAAACAAATTAATATAATTTTATAATAAACATTTTTATATATCGTACGTGACATATCGTATGTGACAGATTTTTCCCCTGATTTTTTTTTAGGTTATAAAATAAATATTTTGGAAATATATGCATGCACACACAGATAAAAATAAAAAACTAGAGTTATATGGCGACTAGGGTCAAATATGGACCGATCTTCATAAAATTTTGGGGTGTGATTTTAATTCATATAAAACTTTTTAGTGCCAAATTCTATCATAATACTAGTGATTAGAAGTGAGTTACGGACGTTTAAGTGTTTTTCTGAAATTAAACATTGAAAGGAACTAGGCTCAAATGAGGTCCAATCGTTATGAAAATCGGCATAATGGTTTAGGCTTATAAACATTTTAGATCTACCGATTTGAAGGGATAGTATTATAATTAACAGAATTATGAGCTAAAAAGTGATATTTTCGAGTCCGTTTGTATGGGGACGAGGTGTAAAAATAGACCGATTTCAAAAATTTTCAACAGTCTTCATCTTTGGTGCTACAAAAGATCATATACTATGAGAATTATATATCATGATCTTTAGCATTATAAATGTAACAAAAAGTGGACGAAAAAGGTCATTGCATTTCATTAAGATCACAACAGATATTAGTGCTATAGGTGTATTTATTCGGATTTGGTGTATTAAACATTCTCTTCTTCAAACACTGTATGTTGGCAAATTTCTTGAAAATCGGTTCATGTTTTTTTATATTTAGCCTAGAAATTTCGTGTTATAGCAGTTATTTAAAAAGTGAACATAAAAATATGCGTATCATCCAATCAATATCATATAGAGTTTTTTTATACCCTCCACCACCATCAATGGTGATAGACAGTATATATAACTTTGTCATTCCGTGTGTAACACCAAGAAATATTCATCTGAGACCCAACAAAGTATATATATCTTGATCCTTATGAAATTCTGAGTCGATTTAGCTATGTTCGTCAGTCCTTCCGTCTGTCTGTGTAAAACACATTAAAACGAAGCAATAAAATTCAGTAAAACCGGTTCACGACGTAAAAAGTTATGATTAAAAATTTCAGACTACCTCGAAAAAAATAAAGTTTTTTTTTCCCAATTCTTAAGTAGTTTTCTCATAAACTACCAAAGATATTTCGATTAATTTTGTCACACATTATTTTTTTTGTATCAGGGATCAAGTATGTTCAAACTCATAGCAATAGATCCAATATTTCCCATAGCCCCCCTACAAAGGTGTATATTCCCGGATATAAGTTTATCGTTAATAACTCCCTCAAACATATCGATATCAACACAAAATTTTGTACATACAAATATAATATGAATAGAAATCATACTATCAACGTAGATCTCAGTCAGTCTACAATTGGTCATAGCTCCCATGTAAGGTCCACTTCCAAAAATCACCTATTTCATTGACAAATAAAGCTTTTGTGATAAAATTCGAGCTGAATATGTTTTATGCACATACAAATCATTCTACCAAATTTCTTTTCGGATCGGCCCATTATTAGTCATAGCTCCCATATAAGGCCCACTTCCGGAAATCACTTAAACGCACATATTTAATTGTCAAATAAAGGTATGTATCTTGATAAAATTCGACACAAATATGTTTCGTCTATATATGAATCACTCTACGAAATTTTTTTCGGATAAGACCATAATTGGTCAAAGCTCCCATATAGGGTCCACTTCCGAAAATCATTTAAACGCATATGTTTCATTGATAAATAATGCTATCGGTATAAAATTCAACTTGAATATGTTTTGTTTACGTATAAATCATTCTAACAATTTTCCCCGGATCGGTCCATTATTGGTCATAGCTCCCATATAAGGCTCTCTTCCGAAAATCATTTAAACTCACATATTTTATTGTTAAATAAAGCTATGTTCATAAAATTCGACACAAATATGTTTTGTTTACATACATATGAATCACTGTACGAAACTTTTCTGGAGAGGCCCATAATTGGTCGTAGCTCCTATATGAAGTCAAGTTATCTAAAAATTAGATAGTTGAATGGGTAGCTTGCTGGTGGAGGGTATTTAAGATTCGGCATAGCCGAATATAGCACTCTAACTTGTTAACTTCTGAGGTTAGACCTATTAAATGCCAAATTTTATGTAACTACGTTTATTAGTTATGTAGTAAAGGAGTAAAAAAAAGAGTTTCACATATATTTATTATTATATATTATAGGTTTTGAAGATGTAATGTGTCGTACTGTTCATACC